TACGGCTGTAATAGTTGATAGATTTGTAGAGAATTGCACGTGCCATGGCTATTTGTAGTATCATACTGTCAGAAAGTTGGTCTCGGCACGGCGAATGTGCACGCTTCAGTGGTAGTCTCGAACTATCAGCGGTGGACTGTATTTCTGTAGAGTACATGGGTCACCCTACTTATAGTTAAACAAAATAAAATCAGGCATTTTAAGCACATTCCCTCATATAGAATGGGAATATTGCAAGTTGTAAAAGAATTTTGTAATAAAGAGTCCAGCACATGTTATTCAAGTGCTACCATTAAATAAAAAAATATGTAATTATAATGATATCATCAATAATATGAGATAATTCACTTTAGCATCTCCATTCTTAAAAAGAGCAATGTTTAGTAATCAGTCAACTTTACCATGAAGTCTGTTGTGCATGCAGCCTGCATCATTTATTTTTTTCAATTATAATAAGATTTTGGGGTTTCACATTTTAATGACGTGGCAACATTTAATTTATGATTACAAATTACATAGTCCTATATATAAATTTACTGGGATATATACATACGGTACATGGAACTAACCATGAAATGACAAAAAATGCCAGAATCAAACATTGCATTAATCCAGACTCAAAACTTCCGTCTAAATACACAAATAATTCAATGTTCCAGATGCATACACTTAGAAACATCAATAAATACTGCACACGCACATGCATGATTGCGACAGTTAGGTTCTGGTTCCCATTATTTCCTATTATTAGAATAATTGATCACAAACTAATTTCATGTAATCTATTCTTGATTTCTAATCATTGTACAATGATGAGAGGCTTGAAATCTTTTAAAGGTTTATAATAAGACAACTCATTCATCAATTTTCATTAATTGTATTGTAACTTGATTTAACACCTCCATGCGTAATTGTTACACCCTTAATCAATTGCATAACTGGAATTTTATGGGGTTATTAATCATGTTAATTAAAACATCAAAATATTTCTTGTGTAAAATCAATACAATTAATATTAAATTTGCGGCTAAAATCTGATTACATTTAAAGAAATAACAACATTTCGGGAATTACAAATCTTGGATATTCCAAGATCTGTACTGGAACCAAATTAGAAAAGAAGGATTTAGATTTAAATGCATGACTAGATCTTATTTAATCAAATGATTTTTTTTATTTTTGTGTGGAACATGCATTTTTGAATGTATTACATGTGTTAAGTGCAATTTTATTGATATTAAACTCCTTTATATTAAAGAAAATTAGGTTTACAGTTAAGAACGCAACACTGTTCAACACTATAGCATTGTGTGGTCTCAATAACATTATTCATAGAATTTAAAATTCATTACCATTTTTGCAGAAATTGAATAAAAACATAAATTGGATGCTGATGTAGTTTAAATTATTATCCTGCATGGAATGAAGTTATGGGGAAAGATATTGAAATGGATACAATTTTAATAATTTTTGTGTTTCAATGGAAACAAATTTCTCATAGTTTTTGGTATACAATTTGTATTCCATAGCATATCTCATAAACTTGTACACACAATAACCTATTATAGTAGTTGTGAATTGGGCTAATTATAAAATTCTCTGTTGAATAACTTTGAAAACAAATGTAATGAAATGGGGTTTTATGTCCTACTTTTCTGCTGCATTTGAGCTATGTAGGAAATTTTGTCCGGAGAGCAGCCCTAAGGCCTAAATTTATTTTGAATACCAACTGTCAAGCACACTTATTCAGGAGCACATCCCAGAAACAATTTAGTCCAACTCTGACCACCAGACATTTCTCTTTGTTTTTCGACCTAGCTCGTAGATATATATGTTGACTGACTTGAACAAAACATTTACTGGTGTACACAGCTCACATAGTACTCCAATGTTCGTTGTGACTATTTCCACCAGGTGAGAGGTCAAATGTCAAATAGTGCATCTCTCATAAAAATGACCCGCCTCACGCAAAAAAATTTCATTTTACTGTTTTGATCTGATAGCCATCAAACTTTAACACAATTTTCAACTGAAGAGGGCTTAACAATCAAAGGTCAAATGTTGAATTATTGTGATTTTCATAAAAAATATGAAATTCTTGTTAATGAGGTGCAGCTCTAGTTTTCCGGCCAGTGATCATCACTACCGCGTTTAACCATTTGAGCGTGTGGACTTGTTCAATTACTTTTCCGTATAATTTCTTAGAAACTGTTAAAGACATCTTTACATAAATTACTGTTTTTGTTGTATGTTTTTGTCTATAATACAATTATTTGTGAACAATTATCAATCTAATCAATTAAGAATAATGTAGGAATCTTTCTACACATATCAACCTATTAAAGAATATAGATGACTTTTGCTGTTTAGTATTTAACAATTTTCAAATGAAGACTTGGGAGATGCTGATTGTAGGCCAGTTGAGGTAGTTCAAGAATTTCCAGGGTCCAAAATGGCTGCTTTATATAAATAAGTATTTTGGGGGATATTAACCCTAACCCTTTTTTACCCCTCTTAAAAGGCTTAGGGTAAGGGTTAGTATTCCCCAAAATACTCATTTAAATAAAGCGGCCATTTTAGACTCCAGAAGTTCCTGAAACTCTGCATCCAGCCTACAATTAGCATCTCCCGGATAACTTTTGTGTGCCCATTTTTTTACCTATTACAATGGCTTTTTCATATTTCCTCGTACATCTATAACATGTAGGCATTTCTAAGCTATCATTCATACATATAGAACCGAGCATAGCACTTTTCAGTTTTTTGATACTTTGATGGTGTAATTCTAAAATCACAGTAATGGTAGGCTGTAATTGAACTCAATTTATGACCACAATAACTAGGTAGCATAATTGTGATGCCTAAAACTATGGGCTAAATACTTTACATAAAAAGACTATTAGTATTAGTATTTGGTTGTTGGTTACCAACAGCCTGTCTATCATTGTACCTTCCTAAACATGTGTAAAGCACATGGTATTGATGACTAAGTCATCTTGTTATATCTAAGATGATCTCACATAGGCTTCTATTTATAATCATGCTCTAAAGTATGTAAATCTACATCCTTTCATGTATTTATTAATAATGTTCATTCATTAATGATTCTGAACATTGATGTGCAAGTCTGACCAGGATTGCATTTACTTTTTCAGAGCTTAATATTATTAGTAATATTAGAACAGTCAAAGATGTTCAATAGTCTTGCGGTCACTGAAAACATATGTACCTTATAAAACTGGTAGCTGACATTTCGAACTTTGTGTCAGACATGTTTTAAAAACATCAATAAAAAAACAAAAAGATAAATCTGTGCCGAACAAAATGACCGGCACCAGAGGCTTGGGTGTAGTATGCATTTCATGGATATATCTTGAAGGTATGGTTTATTAGCTATTTGAAAATTTCTCCATTATCATTTATATCTCCAAAATCATAATTGAGATTGGTTTTCAATTTCGACAAGGAGCCCTCTACATAAAATATAATTGTCAGAATTTCCTTCTACTTGTTATTCTTTCTATTAAAACACAGAGCAAATGGCCCCATTTAGTCATTCGTTGCAATTCTTTAATGTTATCAAGGTCCAAACTATCTATGGCAAATTATTAATCATTACCTAGACTATAGTACCGCAAATATATATATGTACTAGAAACATTAAATGATAGAGATGAGGTAATATGTTGGTAGTTTTGGATGTTTTAATGTATGTTTGTACTTTGTACAGTGATAAATTAAAATAGGTTGCCAGGCAACATACGCCTACAGCAGCTAAATCGTCTGAGCAGTCGACAATGCTTTTGCAGGTAATATGTGTATAAATATTGAATTTTCACATGGTTCAACAAAGTTAAACACGGGCCATAACTCTAGAAGTTATTAACAGAAATTACTTAAATTCAATAGCCTTCTTCTTTTTATTAATCTAAATAATGCATATCAATTTCATACAGATCGGTTGATAACTTTTGTCATTAGAGCATTCACAAGGGGTTCAGCAAAGTGAAACAAGGGCCATTACTCTAGAATTAATTAACCAAAATTGCTGAAATTCAGTCGGCTTCTTCATGTTACTAATCTAAAAAATGCATTAAATTTTCACCCAGATCAGATGATGACTTTAGAGGTAATTAACGGAAATTGCTGAAATACAATAAGTTTAATCATTTTACTGATCTAAATAATGCATATAGATCCGAAGATAACTTTTGTAGTTAGAGCATTCACAAGGTTACAAACGTATGCATATAGATCCGAAGATAACTTTTGTAGTTAGAACATTCACAAGGTTACAAACGTTCACAAGGTTCAACAATGTGAAAATAGGGCCATAACTCTAGAAGTTATAAACAGAAATTTTTGAAATTCAATAGACTTATTCGTTTTATTAATTTAAATAAGGCATATAAATTTAATACAAATCGGAGGTTAACTTAAGTCGTTAGAGCATTCATAAGGTTCAACAAAATGAAACAAGAGCCATAACTCTAGAAATTCTAAACGGAAATTGCTGAAATCCATGATTCTTCTTTTACTAATGTAAATAAATACATGTAAATTTAATACAGATTAGATGATAACTTTAGTCATTAGGGCATACACAGAGTTCAACAAAGTGAAACATGGACATTGTTAAAATCAAATCTGCTTCTTCATCTCGCTAATGTAAACAATATATATAAATTTCTAACTGATCAGATAATAAATGTAGTCTGTAGAGTGTTCACAAGAAATTGTGGAAAGCAGACGGCAATATACAACCACATTTCGATGTGGGCATATAAAAATGATTTCTATTTCGGATTGTAATTATGTAAGACAAATGCATTCAAATGGTGAACCACATTCCTGACAAAAGAACTGAAGTTGCCTGCTCTGACATTCACAACACAAGGAACTTTTTAAAACTGGATTCCATGGAAAGCAATAAATATCCATTCATATCTGACACTAAAGAAACAGGATTATATTGTTTTATTCATTAATAATGGTCTTACCTGAAAAGTTATACTTTTTTTCCAATTTCACTAAGACATTTCTCATGTTTTTATACTACACACTTAGTCCAGTCCATATGGTTTTTAATATAAACTTTCATAGAGCTCTGAAATAAAGAAGAAATAATTTACTGTAATAAGATATTCCATATTCATTAAATCAGATATGTAGGCGCAAGGTTAATTCTATATCTGGTAAGATAGCAAATCATCTTGATTGTCAACTTTTAATTTATTGAAAAAAATTTCAATAAAATTGAATTGGATAGACAACTACACCATCTGATGGAGGCTAGAGTTAAAGATCTACAATAAGCTTATATTTCAATTGAGTTTTGTGCTTGTTGGATTTAGTCAGGTTTATTTCTGGTTGCTGGCACCACTCTACTTTCAATCAATACCATGTTTAATGGCTGATTTCAAAACCATGTTCTTTCTCCTAATGGCACCAACAGTCAACATTTGGCAATAAATCATGGCCCTTCAACACGGGGATAAGACATAATGCTGGAATATTTCTAGAGAGCCACAATCATATGAGATCATTAAATTTATGAGTTATTACAATTTAAAATGAAATTCATAAAAAATGAGATATTTGGTAGGAAAACATTATATGAAAGTGCTTTAATGTCTCCATGAAGGCTATGGTTGTTTGCTCTTTTCCAGAACGGCTGTTTTTTTTTTACGACTGATGATCAAATAATGTATGAAGATTTGAATAATGTTTACCGTTATGATGATTATCAGACACCTAGAGCATTAAATAAGCTCGAGCACTTCCATTATTTAATTATCAAGTCAATACTAGCAAGTTGATATATGAACAATTCGACCTTAGTGAACAAACTTAACCCAAATCAATGGCAGTATTGTGGTAATGGGATGCTTATAGGGGCTTAGTTTACATGCAAGAGGCCACAAGAAGTCTTTCCTGGGTGCTTGTCAATAATCAATGGAGAACAGCAAAAAGTCAACATAGTGTCTTCAGCCTGATTTCCCCGATTGCTTCTAACTCCCTGGTGTTGGCGATTCAACAGATTTCAATGAGTTAAAAAAAACTTCAGTGTCCGTTGGGCAATTTTAATCAATTTTCTGCAAACATGCTATAAGATTAGCATTCTGGATCAATTTCCCTTTACGATATTACTCAGCATCAACAAGTAGGAGATGGCTGAATATGAGAAAGACCTATTGACAATTAACCCAAATGGATTCCCAATTTTGCAGAGCCTGAGTTTTCCTTTACCTGATTTCATGGCTTTCGTTCACACTACAGACAATATGGGTGGAAATTCCAATAATGGTGATGCTTTTCTCATTGGAAATGATTGGAGTAAATGAAAGATTAAATTGTAATATAGTATGGATGGATGGTGTGTTTATCTTAGGAAACACATGTTGACATGACTCACTACTAACATTTAATGCCCATGATTCAAGCAGACACGACAAGAAAAAAGGGAAGAGACAAATGACTTCAATAAACAAAAAGAGATCTGTCTATTTCCTTGGACTAACTTTTGGGGACAGACAGAAAACTTTCCTCATTTCTCAACAAGTTGTTTCTACCATACTACACAAGTTTCATTGCTTAAATGCCTTCAAAGGCAATTTATAAAGATAAATGACATTAATAATAAGATTCCCACAACATTTCCAATATCCTTAGTGCCATTTGACTTAACAGCTAACCAAACAGAAAATAAATTGCTCAAGAACAATATTGGATTTTAACTTTTTTATGAACAAGATATTTAATTGTGTTTTTTCTTTCAAATGTTTTTTTTTTTATATCAATGGATTTCAAATTCGGTATTAGTCAAGCTCTGGAAATTTTCCATCAACCATTTTTCCGAATTAAACATAAAAATCTGGTTTCTTTTGCTCTTGTAATTTTTCAAAAAGTAGTTGACCCAAAAATCAAATTCAATTATAGAATGTGCAGTCAAACTAAAATATCACGAGTTTTATGTTAACAGTTTTGAATTATGACATTCAATAATAAGTTCATAAATCATCTACTAAACTAATTAATCCTGGGGTTATTTTTATGCTGTTTTTTTTTCTGAAGTCTGCTGTTTCACATGCATCCGTTTGCTTGATTAATTCTATCAATAATGTCCCAGACATGATATAAATGGAATTTATAATAATTTTAAATCAAATGACTTGCTATATAATGTATATTTTTTGTAACCAACACCTTTTCAAGATACATTTCCTAAAAAACCCTGCTTTAGCTTGAACAGTTTTTGAAAACAGAAACAACTGTGAGACTTCGGTGATTCAACATAAGGATCAGGAGAAGATAAGAAATATATTATACATGTATGTATTTATTTGTAAACCCTTTATAATCAATAGAAAAATAAGTCCCAGGCAAATGAAGATACACATGTTGTTTTAAAGCTAAATATTCTTCTTTTTGTTTTTCTCATAACCTGGTGCCCACCTGCATAACAGGCTCACTACCTGTGAGTAGATGAACGGTCATGACCTCACCTAAAAATTCCTATTCCCCAGGCACCAGATCCACATAAACATTATCAGAATGTTTCTGCTAATATTCAGGCTTGAATGAGAATCGGATAAATCAAAAGTAATCAAAGTATTGCCTATCTGTTGCAGCAACTTTATCCTGGACCTATGCATTGTGGTTATTCTTGGATTGTTATTTAGGTCTCATTAATTTTATGAGAAATATTTTAAAGATAAATAGACTTGAAATTAATTCATGGTGCACTTTAATCCAAAGGGTTAACAGGTAAAAGCAGTGTCCAGAACAACTAAGTAATTATCAACTGGGAGAATATCAAAACTTTTACAGGAGTTTTTTTTTAAATGCATACAACTGTAAAATAAAATGTAAATAGTTCTTTGCATATTGTATCGGCACTTTGTGGTAACAGTTTAATTTGTTGTTACATTAAGTCAAAGTATCTGCCTTGAATCATTTGATAAACAATCATTTAACTATTTAACACATCAGCAGTGAGTAACCTATCTTTTTGAAGATAAGATATTAAAATTTAACAGTTAAGATAAAGAGGGTAGCATTTAACAGCCATGATCAATAATGATGTTTATATAAAAAGAAAGATTTCAACCAATTGCATTCCAAAAAAAGTATCAAGAACCTACATACCTATCATCTCATTATTCAGAAATGCTTAAAAATTGTCAGCTGTCTGACAAATTAAAACACTTTACACCATCTCGCACTGTCCCCAGTACATTTTCACATAATTAAAGTGGCCTGACCATTTATACTAGCCATTGGTCATTTTATGAATTGGTTGTGCCTTTGTTATAGTTTATCTCAAATATTTGATCTGTGATCCCTTGAATAAGGTACTACAAACACTTAGTCTATCTATAATAAACATAGATGATCAGAGATAAACATCACAATCAGATGAAATAGAAATAGTAGTTCAAAATGAACAGTGTTTGAACATAGTGTTGTTTGTAAATATATAAATACAACAGCAACATAGAGCCACTAAAATACTTTTTCATCAGTTCTATCAAAAAGTTGTTAAACATTTGTTTTTACCTTTAATATTATACTAAAGAAATCCTCAATACATCAAGCAGAACAATTAAGTGCAAGCTCAGAATTAATAACAACACAAAAAGCACTACAAACGATCGTAATCTATTTGCTACCATTCAAATCGCCCATGGGGAAACATGTTTTTCTTTGCCTTCCAGATGACATTCCAGATTTCAAATTGGACATACTTTTTGTGACATTTTCATTTAATTGTGGCCACCATGGAGTTCATTGTCATTTCGAGTCACTTCTGCTACTTTAATTAATCCAAACTCAGTGGGGACACCTCATTTAAATACCTCAATATGTACTAATTTCCTAATAATTCCATCTAAACAATGTTAATCCTTTCAATGCAAATGGTTGCTTAAAAGTCAAAGTATGTCCAGTTATTTTATAAAAGGCCATATAAAGTACACAAATACATATTTGATCCAGAGTTTATCCAAAACTTTGATCAACAAAAGTAATTGGTAAAAGAGAAAATGGTAAATTAGAACTTGTGACTCAAATTTTGATTGGAAGATAAAACTCAGAGGTTAATGGATGTGTAGCTTAAACTCAATATTATCCATAATTAATTCACAAATTAGAATTCAATATTGGTCCATTTCAATTTCAATCAATATTAATGTTGTTATCTAACCATAAAAATATGGGCTCCAGATAATCAATATTTAAGACCCAATGAACACTTTCAAATCAGTTCCCGACGTTAGGTTCTCCATGGTCTTGAGCACTATTTGTAATAAGAAGACTTGATGAACAAAGCAAAAAAAAATCCCACAAATCAACATTGCGAAAGTAATTAACAAGCTTTTGCCATGCAAGATACACCCACATTTTGCAAGAGATGGAGAGAAAAGGTAAAAAAAGTGATTTTTGTACAATAAATGGCCATAATCAAGGATATTACGGTCCCTAATGCGTCAATATCAAAAGAAATAGAGATCTTTGGGATCTAACCATATATTTTAAGTTTCATCAAAACAAAATAAAAATAGTGATTTCTAGAGGGTCCAAAACTGTGGTATTACATGCTTTTACACTATTTGCGTAAACACTGAGCGGCCATTTAGATGGGAAGTTTCAGTCAGATTTACACGGTATTTGAACTCAACCACAATTACTATGTAACTGTGATATATCAAACTAAAAACGGTCCGATTTGCACAAATACATTAAGGAACTGAGATCTTTGGGTTAGAAACATACATTTTAAGTTTAATCAAAAATGCATAAAAATTGTGACTTCTAGAGTGTCCACATGCTAAAAACATGATTTTACGTACAATCAGGGGGCCATAATCCGTGAAGTTACGGTCTGATACATGCCAATATCCAAAGAAAGCAAGATCTTTGGGACATAAACCTCTATTTCAAGTTTCGTTAAAATTGGATAAAAATTATGACCTCAAGGAGAGTGTCCACAAACAAAATGTGCACGGGTACACGGACGGACAGAGGCAGGCAATGATATATGTCTACATGAAAATGTGAATCCAAATAAATATAAAGAGAGAGGAATCCATAACCATTTGAATAACA